TGAAAAGAAAAACTTCTAGAATATTTAGAAATAAATGGACTAATGATAAATAGAATGACTATTGCTATTGATTATTTTATATAGAACATTACATTTTGAACAAAATAATATTTAGAAACATAACTTATGAATCAAAAAGTTATATAATTTTCCATGAAAGTGACATCCACGAATCTCATGGAAACGATTTATGCGCGAAATATTTTTGCCAGTCAAGGGAGAAAGAGGAAGAAGAATCCCCCTTTCTTCTGGACGCACGTTCTTCGCATGCAAATCTCGCGTTCCACGTATGGGAAAGGGCATACATATACAGCTATGTATACACGGCGAAAATATAAATTCGGTACGGCGATAGAATCGACATCGAATTTCCAACTAACTAATAAAATCCGTGACCAATCTAACTCACTCGTTTGTTTCATTACAGATTGTTAACAAGCTTCGACGATGTTCAATAACTAGAAATTAGAAAAATGTGAATTTGTTTCAATATAAGAAGAAAGAAAATAAAGATATTGAGTAAAATAATTATAATGAAAAACAGAATAATGAAAGATTTTTCCTGTTAAATTAAATTATATGTAAAATAATATTTTTTGTGTATTATTTAATATTTAAAATTGAAAAGAACCTAATTCATCAATAAGTAATATTAAAATGACCGTTAATATGTTTTGGAAATACTCCACATGAAAAAGAGCAATTATTTAAAATTTCAAAAAAAATATTTGTTGCCATTCAGTTTTGTATCGTATACAAGTAAGGTTAAACTCGATGTTCCAGAATAGAATAGATATTTATTTCAACGTCTATGATATTTACACAGAAAATTACGCTATAATACTCTATTTATAACTATTTATACCTGTTTTTTTTAATTAAAATAAGAAAATGTAGAAATATTAAGAATATATATTGATATTTCAAATGTAGATCATATAAATTATTATTCCATATAGAAAATATTACTAGAAAGATATAAAAAAATAAAAATATCATTTTTACCTAAATTATTTACCTATATTAATTAAAAGAAATAATCAATAGCATAAATATAATTATATGAAATATTTTACATTTCAATGTTCTAAAAACAACAATTTAGTGAATTTAAAATAAGATCAAGAGTTCAATCCAAACCTAATCTATAACAAGCACACCATGTTGCAACTTTCTTCTCGTTAAACTTTAGGTTTATCCTTTGGAATATTTACATATAATTAAAGAAATCAATGGATGTAGCATGAAACAGGAAATCGTTTAGGCGAAAACACGTAATCGAAACAAAAATGCAAATGAATCCGGGAGAGAATATGGAGGAGAATTTAATCCAGTCGATTTTCTTCCTTTGAAAAATATTTTCAAGTAGACGTAAACCAAGCACGTTTCCGTCGATGTTTCTGCAATGGATCTTCCCAAACAGTATCCAACCGTGGAACTGGATATGCTCGGATAGATTCAATTATTGGACGACGAATGGAATTATCCAAATCCGATATCGGCCATTCGATCGGTGTTGCTCGAATCGTCTCGCTTGTGAGCAAATTGGAATCAGAACCTTGTCAATGGCTTGCCAATGGTGCAATGTTTGCCTGATAAAAGGAGCGCGTGATAAGTTAGTACAGATCGTTTCATTTTAAAATCTTAAAAACTAGAATGAGAATCGTTAATACATGAATGCTATATTAAATCATCAGTTCCAATAGACAACAACAAAATATAGTTTACACAAATCATTGCACAGACTTCACCTTCTAATTTTTATTAAATCTTACCTAAACAAAGATTTTATTTCAATGGAATAAACTATCCGACCAAAAATTATTCAACTAATCAATTCATCATTTTCATAATATTATCAAATTATTTATTCATGTTACAACAGTTAATACTATTTTATTTACGAATAGTAAGTAAATATATATATATTTGCATCATTGTTCGTGTTAAATCGCAGGGTGTTCGCAAAATGTAAGCTACAATGATCATCGACTATGGAAAGCTTTCTTTCAGCCCCGCTTTTCATCTCTTGCGACCATCCTCGAGTAACGGGTCGTTCTACCCTCGCCATCCCTCTCATCTTCTCCTCGCCCCACTTCTCATCCCTTCGTTACTAGCTCTCTCTTTTGCTTTAACCTTCCCCTTCTTTTGTTTCTTTTTCTACTCTTAGCAATATATCCTCCAATATTCACCATTGTTTTCCACAACAGACATGAATACAAGGAAGAGATCCGATTTTTAATCTTTTTGATACTTTTTGATACGAGCATTTTATATAAATTTTTTTTTTCTTTTTACAGATACTAGATACGTGAAGTGAAGCAAATGTAATATTGACGAAAGATTATTGGAAAAATATTAAAGATAGACTATTCAAAAATTTGTTTATTAGTTATTATAATTTATTTAAAAAATAAAATATAATTTTTTGCAAACTAAAAAAGTAATTAAAGTGAATTTGAAGAATTTCAAAAATTGAAATTTAATAAAATTGTAATTAACAAAACAGATAGATATTTACTTCTTTAAAAAAAATAAAAATATATAAGGAGTTTAGATTTTAAGAATTTCAAGTTGTCAAAATTTCAAATTGAAGTTTCAATTAGAATTTCAATTTATTTCTAATTTTAACAATTGATTAAACACAAATTTTAGAAAATCATTTTCTGAAACATCATGCAAATTTGTATCAAGAAATATTTTAAATCTCAATTACATTTATTTATTACACATATAAATATATCATCAATAATTGTCTCATATTATTGATAGAAAAAAATCTTTCATAACACAACCAGATAAAAGAATGTGACTGCCCTTTTAATTTTACTACATCAACTAAATGAAATTTTCAGAAATTCAGAAAATTAAAAGTATAGAAAAATAATTAAAAAAAACTATCATATTTCATGAAGTTGATTTTTGTTCTCCCATTAGTCATCATGTGTGTTAATAATAGAAAGACTATTAGATAGTAATAATTAATATTAATATCTACTTTTTCATAAATTCATCAAATATTCTAAAAAATCTAATAATTATTACATATATATTTTATATATAATTAGATTAAAGATTAATTTCTTCAATATTTAAATAACAATCAACGTAATACACTTTGAAATTTTATCATATCAATAAAATCTACAATTTAAAGTATAATTTGTTTATTTTACTTGTTCAATAAGAGATCTCATGCTCCATGCAAGAGATGCAAAGAGGCGAGAATGTACATACTCTCTTCTTGCTACGCTGCCGATACATTAGTCTAATTGAAATCCGGATGGTATTGCGCGCGTGACCGTACACTGTCTCGATTGTCAAGCTTTCAAATAGATATAAGCATGTCATAGATATGTGCTAAAATTGCTCACTTGCTATATACCAGGTAATACAATGATGTCATCGCCATTGCTTGTCACACGATCGTTAATGAAATCGGAACGATATCGGTTTGATTATCATAATGAATCATCAGATCTAATCCAAATAGACTATAATAAAGTGTTTCCTTTGCATTGATGAGCAAATGATAAATAAATTTTAAATCTTTAATGTAATCTCAATTTGAATTTAAATTTGAAATCTGAAAAATTAAATAGAGGTTAATTTTTATATGAAATGAGCATTTCCATAACGATTCATTTGCGCATGCGTCGAACAATCATATATATTCTATTCGTGAAGAGTCATATCAATGGAAAACAAGAATTCATAATGCGCATCAACATGTGTCAGAAAGTAGCAAATTATTCTCGCATGACGACAGTTGTAGATGAACGATAACCTTGAAAATTCTAGGCAGAAGTAATCGCCTGGTCATGTGGAAAACTGACGTGACCGATCATGGAATGACAGAAGGAACACGTCTCCGGGAACAACGTACTTTCTAAATGTATGCGCGTCGCGTACGCGCATGCGCTGAGAAAGTAAAATGAGATACTTTCTCTACGTGGTCGCAATTCTGAAGGATGGCCTCATGAAATAAAAGAAGGAAACACATGTCGTAACCAACAGCTAGGGAAACTGTTCAAAACTCTACATGCGTGTATGTATGCTTATTAATGGAAAATTAAAGCACAACACATTTGGAATGGTGTTTCTCCGTCATCACAAATGGATCGTACCTAAAAATAACCTCTTAATGGAACAACTATTATAATATCCTGGTATCTTCCGATATTAAAAGATGAACATTTTCACAATCTTAAAAAGTATCATGTTTTAAATTGTAAATCAATGTGAAAAGAAAGAGACACGAATGAAATAAAAAATAGAGGTATGTATTAATATTTATATTATTAATATTTATAATGTTAATGTTTATATTATTATATGTTTATATTATTATAATATTTATAATATTATATTTATAATTTATATAAATATAATAAGCAATACTTAATAATAATTTAAAAATCGAATATTTTGAAAAAAATTTAAAAATTTCTCTTCTTTTTTAATTATGCTGATACTATTCGATGATTTTATTATAACATAATGCATCCAAACTTATTAACTTTTTTCCGCTATATTCACTACCAAAATTACTTTCGTCATCATCCTAAAATTCATTGATTGAACATTTTCAAAGGAATTCACCAACACATTGAATTCACAACATATAATTAACATATTTTAACGGTAAACTATTTCGTCTGATAACATTCAACGTTAGCAAAGGCAGCAAGTACGAAATCTTAAATGCACGAGAAGTGTTTACGCGAGCAAATGAGAGCGAATACGATTCTCTCTCATTCTTTCTTATTTTCTGTTTGGTCTTTTTCTCGGCCTTGATCGCTTCGCCATGGAGCAAGGACCGTGGAGAAAAAGGAAAGGAGTATATATGTATTCCAGGGAGAAGCAGCGAGGATGAAGTGAAATCTAACTTCCCCTCTCATATATATATGCGTGTGCAAACTAGAGAACGACACGAACACAGCTGCACAAACTGTTTTCAATCAAAAAATTTGATCTATTTTTGATTAATTTTCGAAATATTAAAATAAATTTTAATGACATTGTGTTCAATTTTTAAAAATAATTCTATTTTTATATTTATGATAAAAGATTAAAGAAAAACAAATGAAAAAATATTTCAGTTTCTTGAATTTCATCCAATGTTCAACAAGTTAGATTACAGATGGAATCGAACATAATATGCATATACAATATATTTTCATTTATCACTATCTCATATGTCTGATAAAATTTCCATATTATGAAACAATATTTGTTAATGATTTTCTCCAATCTTATAACTATGAGATAAAAATTAGGAACATTATTTACGTGAAGACAAGATATCGCGTATTAGTTTGGTAGTATGCGATCTATATTTTTGCTCATTATCAATGCATCAGCTATACAAAAAACAAATATATGAGAAATGATAGCATTCAATTGCAATAATAAATCGAATCGTATAAAACTATTTTTTTAATTATTCACAAAATGTCATCACTTAAAAAATTGTGTAACTGCAAAAAATATATTTTTACAGAGAGGCAAAATGTGATCAAATTGACGACATTGCGGTAAAATAATTGACTTTATGCTTCAACTCATAACGTGCAACCATGTAGCAAATTATTATTACATGGTGTAACATACGTTCCTGAGCAACGGTAAGAAAGTAATTTACGTTGCGCGTGAACGTTGGCCACGTGCCAACTCAATTACAGACTCTCAAAAGAAAAACTTCAACCATCCCACTTCAACACTTCTTTTATTCAATTTACATTAATAAGGATTTTCGGTAAATTTTCGAATTAAGAACATTCCATTTCGATTGAAATATAATGTCTTAAACTTTTCGCTTTTTATTATTATACCTACTTTCTCCCACAGAAATATTTTCACTAGAAAAGCGAAGAAACGTATTTCACATAGTGAAAGCTTTATTAAGTTAATGGATGGCGCTAATAAAAAAAAAAAAATCGATATCGATCAATCTAAAATCATCGAATCTCCTCTATGGAAAGTTTAACGTTAATAATTGCGAAAGCTAAGAAGATAAGTAAGAATGAAATAACATGAAGAAACGTGACGATGCATCAGGAAGATGGGAAATCATTAACCTTGCTTATTCGAGCCAACGGGTCGTGGAATTTGTATGCGTCATAGGATATGCGGGCATCTTATGTGACGCTTAAAGAGACGCGAGAATTATAATGCATTGCCACACGTTCATCTTGCAAACGCAGTGACAATGCATTCCTTTAAAACTATCGAAGATAATGGACTACTATATTGGATCATACATCTACAATTAAATTTAAAGATATTTCAAAATGATAAATTACGAAATTTCAGTGTATCATAAAAAAGCTTTCCTGTTACATTTGTATCACATTATATATAATTATACAAAATGATTCAATTATATACATATACTATATTAAAATTTAATCTCTATATATACACTAGTGATTAAATTAACTATCATAATCTAAATGAAATGAACTAATGAAACTAATAAAAATAAACATAAATGAACTAATCATTTAAAGTTATCATCCCTACTAACAAATTATCTTAGTAATAATACTTTTTTTTTTTTATTTTTCAGATAAATATTTTTCTTGACTTTAAACAACCACCAAATTTTAAATATGTTGTAGCATAATTATTTACAAAAATAATTGTCTTCATTGATTTCAATGATTTTCAAGGAAACATGCTCAAAATATTGTCTTTGATAACATATTTCAAGGTAATTAAAATTGATGAAAACAATTATTTTGTAAATAATTATCGCTCTATATCAAATCATTTAATATATGAAAAAAAAAAAAAAAAGAAAGAAAAAATTTAAAATTTCACTCACCTTCCATGGGCTTTTTGGTAGTGCCAAAACCGGCGGTGGGTCGTCGCCATCCTCTCCAGTTATTGCACAACGACTCTGGCTCACTGCTCCAGCTGCACAAAGAATCCTCTTCGAAGCGATCAGAGTCGTCGAAGGAATA